CTCCACATAGTTTGGCCAGCATCGTGAAAGAAGTTGTGTCTCCGATCACTTCCAATGTGACCGATGAAACCTATGATGCGCTTGGATATGATTTGAAAGCTATGCTTCAATACCTCAAGAAGGTCCGTCGACAGTGGCGATACCTGCAGCGCAAGCAGAACATCCATTTCCCACCCCGGCACGCAACAGCATCACATCCTATTTTGGTTGACCTCGTGTTGTCCCTAGAGGATTTCCCTGATCAAGATGATGGCGTGGAGGAAGATGACACTAAGGCAAGCCATTAAAAACCTTGGATAGCAATTTTCCATTTGAGGGACTTCCCAATAAAATGACCCTCTGCAAGTCAAACGATTCCTAGCAGGGGTCAGATTTGAGGATTTGCTCAACATGGAAAGTTGTCAACCGCAGAACGGTAACTACACTATCTACCTCTACTGATATACTGTATTTATGTCGCGTTCTCTTGACACGTTTGCCCAGGAGGACTTGGCCGCGGAGTGGAACATTGATCTTTCCAAGCTGGAGCAGAAGGACAGCAATGCGATAGTGCATGACCCATCTTCGTCTGTGTGTGGGCGTTGGGTTGGCCTGGCTGGAAATGGACCTGTATACAGTGTACAGTTTGTGATTCTTTTTAGGAAGTATCGTCTACAGCAAGAGCAAGCTCACCGGCAGAGGGTGCAGATCCCCAGGTTCAGGCTTGATGTCTTTGGCATTGTTTTATGTCTTCTTTAGCGTTTTATCACCCTGACCATTGCACCTGTGTACAGTGATTCTTTGTCGAGGCGGCGTCGTCTACAGCAAGAGCAAGCTTTCCGGCAGAGGATGCAGATTCCCAGGTTCAGGCTTGATGTCTTTGGCATTCTAATTTGTAGCTTTTTTTTGACATTCTATCACTCCGTAAGACCATTGGACCGTTGGGCCTGTGTACAGTTTGTGATTCTTTTTCCAGGCGGCATCGTCTACAGCAAGAGCAAGCTCACCGGCAAAGGATGCAGATTTCCAGGAGGCTTGATGTCTCTGGCATGTGGCATTCTATCACGGCCGGCCAATTGTTCACCCTATAACACCTGCAATTTGTTCAGGTTTTGATGGAGCAGCTCAACATGAGGAGGTCTGCGGTATTGCAATCATTGCAAGGAAAAGAAATTGTTCTGGACAGCGTTACTGGTCTGAATTGGAGTCACGCACCATGACCCATAGGTCAAGGCTCACAGTGGTGTTTCTAATTTCTTACGTGGTAAGGACGAGGAGATTGACGCGGATGTCTCTGCAAAAGCCTCCAAGGATGTAACTTTTCCTTTATGGTTCAGATTCGTCAGAGGTTCAAATTTCTTATGCGCAGTTGTTCACAACCAAACCACGTCGTTGCCAGGAAGTGGAAGACAAAAATCTATATTGCCAGCCCGGCAAGATTGCACCTTGGCCTATTTGTGTGCGCACGAGAGGTGCGGAAAATTGAAGTCAAAAAGAATATATATATATATATAAATGTCTATTACCAAACAAGGTTTGGCAGTCACACATAATCATATGCACCTGAAAAACTTAGGAGATGGTGGGCGACAAGCTGGCAAACGCAAATTCAGCAAATTCTCGCAAGGCGGAAACTTGACTTCTTAGTTCATTGGAAAGTGTTGCATTGAAGCTTCTTTGTTCAATGTTCACCGTTTCTTGTCAGCCTAGGATGAGATGGGTCGTAGTGGTGAGCCACTTCTCCCTGCAGAAACTTGTCAAAAGGCTTCGCCAATTTTTGTTGCCGTTGCCTGTGAGTGCCCATGGTTCCATTTTGTTTGGCAAAGGGCACAGGCTTTGGCCAAACAAAACGACAAATTGCATCTGTGAGATAATTTGTTCTTTTGTCAGCCCAGGATGCTTCTGCCACGGAGATGTTCACAGAGGCAAAGAAGGTGGCAACTTGACCCAAGTTCCTTTTCATCAAATCATCAAATGTGATTTTTGGTCAAGTGGCACTTGGGGTTTGTTGCTTAGCTCACAAAGGCCCTTCACCCACAACCGGAATTTCTCCAAGCTCTTTGCTTAGAACATGGCTGGATAAAACGAGTTTGCAATACAAGAAGTGGCACACCTACAAAGAAAACACCTAAGGAAATGCAAGAGGTCATTGAGACGGCCAAACCGTCTCCAGTTCTACCAGCAAAGCAAAAGAGGTTGGCTGCTGAAAAACGGGCAGAAGCTGCTGACAAAAAGGGCGGGGAAACAGCGCGAGCAGGACCTCGCAACTATTGTGTGAAAACGCACAAGCGCAGGGCAGCTGGTGGCAAGACAATCACAGCTTTTGCTGTTTGTGCCTATGATGCAGAAACCCAAAAGCACAAACAGCTGACACAATTTGCCGATACGTTGCGGGACACGGGCAGTGTCAAGAAATTTGTTGAATCAGTGGTTGCTGGGCTGAATAGCGGAACCTTGACTAGAGAGGAGGCTTTGGCAAAGATTGCAGCTGCAAAGGCAGGATCGATTCCTGAGTAAAAGCTCAGCCAACATGCGCACATGGACAATCGAAGAAAAACACGCGATGCAATTTCTTGGTGTACAATTGGACTTGCTCGCTCTTCTTGCCTTTCACTGTTTTTCATGCTGCGTCCAAATCATGTGCCAGGCAGACATCGATGTGAACCTGCCCATGACCTTGACGCTGGCCTTGACAAGAGGAAGTGCCCCACTATGCTATGTTGCACATCTGTGAGCTTCTTTCTCACTCACATGGTGTGTGACCACTACCGTTGCAAGGACCATCAAGAGGGGGTTTTGAAGTTTGCAAGATTCCAATAGATTCCATCACTGTGCGCGTGTACATTTCAGCAACAACACACAGCGTTACTCAGCACACAGGCAGCTACCACACATTTGCAAAGACATTTGCAATCCAGCCATGGAATATCATCCTGACCCCTCTGCGACGCATCAGCTTTTGGATCATTTAGAGTATGTGGAAATCAAGGAACTGTTTGGGCTGATGTCTCTTCACATACCTTGGGTGGCTTGTTGAGAATGGACGCAAAAACACGATACCGGCTTTAACAAAGATCCCGTGAGGCCACCAATTCTAGTACTCAAGTAGTTCTGGGTCCGCGCGCGCGCGCGCGCCCTACGGATGCTGTTTTTGGTGTGGTGTAAGGCGCGCGCGCGCGCGGACCCAAACCCTCAGAAAGGGCACATCTGTTCTTGTTTTCAGGTTGTGATCGAGCTGGTTGCGTTGTCCTTTCTTTCGCAAAGGCATATGCATGAGAGATCTGTCCCTTGTAAGCAGCCAGTGTCAGTGTCATTTGTGTGCGCCAGCCTTGTCCTGGTAAAAGATAAGGCCAATCGGTGTGGGCTGAAATGCATTGAGTTCTTCTCCGGGATAGCTGCAATAGCCACAGCTTTTACCAATGCTGGATATCATTCTATGGCAGTGGACATTGTGCGTCGTTTGAATGCATCTAAGGGCGGTAAGAGTGACTGTTGGACATTCACTTGTCTTGTGAATTGTTGGTCTGAGGATCCCAATGCCATGACCTCACCAGTACCGTTGGAGTTTTGGCTGCTGTTCTGGCCGTTTGGGGGCTCGACCCTGGTGGACTCTGCCATTTCGGGACGTGCTGCACTTCATGTTGTTGGATCAATTCAGCTACCCACTGCAGGTCACTGGCGTTTCCGTTGGGCGCAGATCTTCAATATGTGCACATCGGCAATAGGTTGATTGGGATTACAGAGCCTTGACGTTGGTTACACATGTTTCACACAGAAGGAAGTCAAACAGTTGGTGATGTGTTCCACTTTTCTTTCTGACCCCACCAAACACTTCTCTTTTTGAGGCTGCGTTGGCATTATTGGTGTGGTACAAAGGCGGTGTTTGGACAATTGAGCAGCCACGTGGCTCCCTTCTCAAAGAACATCCAGCTATGCAAACGATGATACACTTGTACCAAATGTTTAAGGGCATGCCTGAGCTGCATTCCAATCCAGTATTGGTCCATAGCCTTCACTTGGGGGATTTTGGCGCCCCCCACTGAGAAACCAGTGATGCTTTACTCTTCAGAGACGCTGGAGTTGACTGCTCCAAAAACGACTAGAAGGAGCACCACCAATCAAACTCCGCTGGCGGTGACTTACTTTGACAAGTCTGGTGAACGGAGATGCACCGGGACTCCTGCGTTGAAGCAATCTCAACAATATCCACCAGCGTTCCACGGCTGTTAATATCAATTCATTGGACGTTGTTGTCAGCAGTGATTTGCCCGTGGTGTCACCATCCCAGGTTTGCGGAATCCGTTTGGTCATGGTGGCAGGCAAACAAGGATGATGTGATTTGCAGAGGGAGACTGGACCGCACATATTTTGAGTTTTGGAAACAAGGGCGGGGGTCTACTCATCCATTTGCTCCAGCACTCAGGGCTATGCGCCGCAAATGGGCCCTGAACACCAGTTCCGAGATGGACGTGTTGACCATGAAGGCATTTTGTTCTATTTCACCCGCGCTGCGTGTGTTTTTAATGACACGACAGTGATTGCTTACACTAAACAACACCCCTCGGCCCCTCGGCCATTCAATGGTCAGTGACACATTCATGTTTTTGCTGTATGTGTTTTTTTTTGCGCTGCTATACAGGCGGCACTTATGACATATGCTGCTGGATCTTCACAATTCGATTTGATGGGAATTAGCCCCGTCGTCAAGGACTTGCACGGCTGGCTAGGGACAGCGTGAGAAAGCTGCTTCAAAGCTTCTGTTTGTCATCCAGGTGGCCACAAATGGTCACGGGTGGTCACGGGTTGGTCACGGGTTGGTCACGGGGGGGCCTAGACTACTTTAGTGGTAGAGACGTATTTTTGGTCACGGGTTGGTCACGGGTTGGTCACGGGTTGGTCACGGGTTGGTCACGGCCTGGCCGCCTGCATCCAAAGTACTCTAGGCTACTTGTGACTGGCAGTTTTGACGATTCAGCCATTGCATCCTTGTCCTGCCAGTCTGTGGCCCGAGTCGTGTGTAGATGGCAAACCTTCAGGTCAAGTTGGAACAAATGGATCAGTTTGATCCCTGTCTGCAAGGTAGGTTGCAGGAAGTGGGTGTGGCCATGTCAGCTGGTGCGATGCCCTTAATTGGGCAAGATGCCGAGATGTCATTGTCGACAGATGCTACAGCTGGGGAAACTCAGCCAGTTCCGCCACGGGCTCAACGGGGAACAACATGATGCTTCCAGAGCTGAAACTCTTGAATTTTTGTGAATGTTTGGTCTGCGGGGTTTTGAGGTGGGATGCTGCGACACAATTGGATGACCCTCAGGCCTGTTTTCTTGTTTTTGTTTGCTGCACACATCTCCATCTCCATTGTGCTTCGTTGCAATTTTTTTTTCTCCTTTCCTGTCTCTCCATGTCCATGAGCCCTGCAAAACCCTTGAGCCTTAGTATTTACATCCTTCCGCCTGCAGTTGTTGGAGCAAGCATTGGGCATGTGCATATATATATATGTTATATTATATTTTGTTATTCTATTTTATATTTTGTTATATTATATATATATATATACACCTTTTTGTAAATCTATAAATCTGTACGCGTACAACCGATGTATCTATTTCCTCTTCAACCAATTCGGACACAGAAACCTTTGACACTGAGCTCGCAAGTGCAGGATGCAGCAGTGGCAGCAGAGCATTCCAGGCTTGAGGCTGAGTGCGCGCAGATGATGGAGAGGGTCCGTGCAGCCCAGCAAAAGATGTTGCTTTTGAAATCTCCATCAGCGCGCGTTGAAGCACCGACACCAGCTCCCCCAGCTGCAGCGCCAGGTCCCTCAGATCCCGCAGCTCCAGCATCAGGGGTCACCCCCACAGATCCCGCAGCTCCAGCACCAGGGGTCACCTCTCCCTCAGATCCCGCAGCTCTTGCACCAGGGGTCACCTCCGCAGATCCCGCAGCTCCAGCACCAGGGGTCACCTCTCCCTCAGATCCCGCAGCTCTTGCACCAGGGGTCACCTCCGCAGATCCCACAGCTCCTGCACCAGGGGTCACCTCTCCGGGGCCCTCAGATCCCGCAGCTCTTGCGCCAGGGGTCACCTCTCCCTCAGATCCCGCAGCTCCTGCACCAGGGGTCACCTCAGCGGCAGCCGGCATGACTGCACCCGTTCAGGCAGCAGCGACCCCCTCAGATCCAGCAGCAGTGGCAGAGGCACAGACTGCTCAGGTGCCACAAATCAAGATGACTCTTCCAGGCCCGACACTTCCTTTTGACTCCCACCCAGATAACGTGGCAAAGTACATCAACCGGTGGGGGATGGGTGGGGATGGCAACCACACAGAACTCTCTGAGAAGTCAAAGGAAAACGCCAACGCCCTTCGTCCTGCAGGGCAGGTGAACGTTCAGGTGTTTGCAGAATCATCGGCGGGCGCCAACGTTGTCAACTTAGTCATGAAGCTGGATACCAAGTTCAAGAACTTGATGAAAGCATGGTGTGACCATCAGGAGTTGGATCCAAAGGATGTCACGTTCTTCTACAAAAGCACAGCTCTGGCAGAAAATGCGACTCTGGAAAAGATTGGTTGGACCGAGTCGTCAGGCACGTTTCCAGTGAGGGCAGTGCCAGGCCCTTGTGCAGACTTCAAGATGCACTTGGACGCTGTTTTTCAACAGGATGCCCACATGGCTGGTTGGGGTGTGACCAAGCCGCCAGCTTCTCATGATAAGGAGAAGGTTTCTCATGACAAGGAGGTGGAAAAACTCTGGGGGCCACCGGCCCCTGCAGCAGAAGCAGCACCAGCGCTACCCTCGAGTGAGGGCGGTGGTGCCCAGACTCCAAGTTCAAGCCCGTCCCTCACAGCAGCAGCATTGGCGCAGCACAACAGTAACAAAGCACAAGGGACGTCAGCCCCGGGTACACCCTCAGCACTTTACTCCCGAAGAGCTGCGGCAAACTTTATTAGCAGGCTCTCCAACAACCAAAAGCGCTTGAAGGAGCTGCACCCAAGTTTGCAAGAAGCACTTCAAGATGTTCAAGCAAAGAGTCACCTGATTGACCGGCTTTGTGCTTTGGGTGCCTCTGCTGCACAATCCTTGACAAAGTCACAAAGCACATCATTGTTTTTTGTCATCCTTCATTCAGCAGGTTGCCAAGAACCTCCAGTTTGCATGTGTAGTTTTTAAAAAACCAAAGCACACTTCTTGTCAGTTGAGATGGGATGGTTTCTATGGTTGAGTTTGGCCGCCAAATCAGTGAACCTCTCACGCAGCACATCTTTATTGTATATATTCATTCCATTTTGCGATGAACCCAGGTGGGGATATCGAGCAATTGAACGCGACGTACACGGAGGACCAGACCCGGGACGAATGGACCAAGAACCGCAGCGAGGTCGTTCCCATGACCAAAAAGCAGCTGACTGACATGTACGGGGAGGTTTTGGCGGAGAAGACCATTCGCTCGCTGGAAGATAGAGGGGCATATGTCGATGATCCCAATGTTCCAGGCGAGAAAATGTACCTTGTGAGGAAGGACCTTTCTGAGTCTGGAAGCCAAGTGAATGATCGTAGCTTGGCAACACATGTTTAACCTACAGGCCACGATCCGTTTCAGGTGGTTCACCATGTTGGACATTCTCTGAGGTAAACGGTTGTCCTCTGGCGCCATCAAAGTGGATGCGGCAACCATCCATGACCTCAAAGGTACCTTTGATCGGGCGGCAGACAGTTCAGTCCCGGCCACCCCTGCGACTCCAAAGCCTCTTTCAATCGCTGGTTCAGAGAAACCAGATAACCACAAAGGGCAAGTTGAGCCGGAACGAAAAGATGACAACAAAAGGCGACGTAAAACAGAAAAGGGTACAGAAGTTTTTTGCCTGCAAAACATTTGCTGCGTTCATGTTTGCTTTTGAGGGTGTGAATTCAATGCAGTTTTTGATTTTGTTTTTGACGGTGTGAAGTCATTCGTTTCTGCAGCCTGGCCCCAGGTTGTTCCCACCACACCACTTCAGCGTGGAGCAGACCTTTCTCAGAAGATTTTGAAGAAGAAGAACGAGGAGACACGACAATACAACACAGGTTCATGTTGCGATCATTGTATACTTCATGCGTCGGCTTCATGCGTTCAATAATGGTATGTGTCAGGCGGCAGCGCTATCGACCCAATTGATGTGCCTACCATATGGGCAAACATTGCACGCCACCATGAAGGATTTCCAGGACAAATTTGAGTCGTGGCCTTTTTGGTTCATATTTACATTCCTTCAGTATTGCTATGAAAGATCAGTTTTACAATCTGTGAAACACTGAGGTCATTGTTCAAACGATGCGTCGACTTGGTGGAGAAATGCTGTGATTCTGAGGAGGCTTACATGCCACTGGTTCAGGAACACCTGAGCCTGCTCAAGAACTATGAAGGGCCTCAAAAGGCGGCCTCTGGTATGACCAAACAAATGGGCAAGGTTCCAAAGGAACCGAAAGCCAAAGCCAAGGGAAAGGCCAAGAAGGCCTGAGCCACACATTTTGGAGTTCTCCTCATCGTTCCCCCTCCAGGGTGTTTCGCAGTTTGGAACGACCCCGGAATCAAATTCAAAACAAACATGTGTTATGATGTGCAGCGGCAACACCCTGAGGATCCAGTAGCTAGGTCGTGGCAACAGTGAAAGCATCCTTTCATGGTACATCTCGTATATGTTTCCTCGTCGCCTAGATTTATATATCGAGAAGTTCTGCAACATTGAGAACCCCACCTATAACTTTGTTTGTTGGTTAGGCTGTTGCAAAGATTAGCGATGCGAATGGTTTGAAACAACCAATTCCTGCGTGAGAGCAGAATGGGATATATCATTCAATGAGAATGAACTATGGGTTTTGTGGAGCACGCAGTAAGGGAAAAAACGGGCTTGCAAGCTGTCACCTAGCGATTGACCTGTGCAGCAACGTGTCTCCAGTGACACTGTGGCAAACCACCAGGGTTCACTGGCAGCTCACCAACAAATTCATGGTTTGCCATGTCCAGGTACTCTACTTCCCAGCGTTCATCTGAGCATGGGCCGGCAAAAAGGCAGAAAACGCAATCTGGATGCACAAAGAAGTGTTATATCGCTATACCTGTCGGATGTGCTTCGTGAAGCTTTCATATACACAGAGAGCGATGCCTGTATTGTTTGTGTGTGCCTGCTGAAATGAGGGAGCTAGCTAACATCAATTCAGCCGGAGTCAAAGCGCTGGTGGAAGAGATCGGAAGTGGAGACACTTGGTCATTTTAGAAGGGGTAGCAAGTCAAGAATTGAGTACTGTACATTTGAAACAATGTTGATCTGCCGAACTTTTCAGCTAAGAACCTTTCAGTCACCAAAAGCTCTCTCATTGCCAGAGCATTTGCAGCAGATGGCCTTCAGCAATCAAGTGTTTTGAAGCTGGGTAAATCTTCGCGGGAGCGGGACTTTTTTAGGTGCCTTGACTTAGATACGTATATATATACATATGTAAATATGCCTGTGTTGGGATGCAAAGGAGTCAATGGTCTGTTTGTCGCGTGATACATCACATCATCTCTGCATGAAAATCGATCTTCTACAGCGCAGGTGGTGCAAGCTGCCAATCTCTCCCTACATGGTCAAGATGCCCTTGCTCACCACATCCCGTGGAACCTTGGATCAACAGCTGACTACGGAATCTGTAGCAATGGTGTTGCCGTCAGATGCATTGAAGGCGGCTTGGCTTGCAGTTTCTGTGTACATCGTGCATCCATTGTCCATTAAAATGGCGGTGTGTCAACCTGCCCAACCCTCAGCCAAACCAGCCACAGCTCAGGAAATGCTGAAGAAAGGAGCTTTGTTGCTATATGTTGTATATTATACAACAACATTCTCTTCTTTCAAATTCATGCTATTTTAAAGAGAAAAATGCTCAATTTTGGGTGCCCGTGGATTTTTCCGCGTGAAATCACCAATGGCTTTGGTCAAGGAGACGCAGTGGAGCGAGCATGTCTTTGGCCACACGGTCGGGATTCGATTCTGGATTATTGGAAAAAGGAGGATCCTATATACTGCCAGGCAGCAAGTGGAAAAGTCAAACCTCGTGGATTTTGTTAAAAGCAAATGTTTGTAACTCACAATAACTTCAATATATTAAGGTTGGCCGGTGGCCTTTTCCTCCCGCAGGAAGTTGGAATGACGGATCCTTCAAAGCAAAGGACAGCAATTCCGTTGATGATTCACGAAGATGGGGTGCCACACCATCATGACGATACATGTGTGTTTTGGTCATTCTGCACACCCATGGCCATTGGTGATTCCTGGGCTACACGTATGTGTATTGTGGGTATCCCTGGGAGTCGCGTGCACACAACTACTCGACAAAAGATATTGGAGGTGCTCCACTGGGATCTGGACAATTTGCGGGCTGGCGTGCACCCATTGAAAGATCACGAAAACAATGAATTTCCTCTGGAATCCCCGAGGAGAAATTTAGCTGGCCAAAGAATTCTTGGAGGCTTGACAGCGGTCTTCTCAGCTTGGAAGGGGGGATGGAGAGGCTTCAGTCTCTGCCCATCGGCTTGACATTGAGAAACGATACTACAGGTGCAGGACCATTTGTGATTGGTGCTGGGCTTCGCAAACAGATGAATACTTGACCTATGGAGACTGGACGGCGAACGCTAATTGGCGTGGCACACTTTGTGAGGAAACTCTTCCTGACCCTTCGCCGTGGAAAGTCTTGGATGGCTATTCCAGGAAACGACGGTATTGGGACGTGTTACATATTTTACACTTAGGCACCCTCAGAGACATTGTTGCCTCAACTTTATCAGAGCTACTTGCTTCTGGCCACTCTTCTTAATGCTTCCAATAATCTTCCTGGTTGATCATTTTGTTAGTTTGTTTTGTTCTTAGTTGTTGGTGACAGAAACTGCAGTGACGAACGGTTTGTAAGCACTTGCAAGCCCAGGCGAATTGGCCACCTACGTTGGGTTGCCTGGAGAGAGCAACGGAGACAAAGTTCTTCATCGATTTACAGTGATGGCGCAGAGTTGGGCCAAATCCCAAAAGTTGGAACTTGCAATTCGCCCACTTACAACCAAGAGGTTGAATATATCTTCGCAGCACTACCCAGAACTGGATTCAAGGGTGAAAGCAGCCCGTGCCCGTGTCCTTTTTTGAATATGTGGTGAAAGCAGCATTGGACATAGATTTTTGTCTGCGCACAGGTTGAAGTTGATGGGGAGCGTTTTTTTGGGGTAAGGGTTACTAC